GATTACCTTCACTGTGTGATCAGAGATGAAGGAGCAGAACTTTAAAGAGGAAGTGATGAAGATTCTGGAGGAAGCTCCGAACGCCAGAAAAGCTCTTCTGGAAAACTACGATAACCTTCTGAATGTGGCAGACTACTGCAACAGCAACTATTTACAGGTTAGTATTGCAAAAACTATGCTATGCTATGCTATGCTCAGTTAAGCTAAGATAGCAGTTTCCCTATTCCTCCAGCCTCAATGCTAAGCTAACCTCCTGTGTTCAGGCAGGTGACGGCAGCCTGAAGGCGTTGGAGGAAACAAAGAAGTTCACCACCCAATCACTGGCCAGCGTGGCGTACCAGATCAGCACTCTGGCCAGCAGCGTACTGACTCTGCTCGACGCTCAGACCAATCAGCTGCGTCACATGGAGTCTTCCATCAACCTCATTTGTCAGGTGAGCCCCGCCCTGACTCCTGAGATCAGACTTTAGCAGTTAGCTAGTGTTTCTGTAGTGGAGCTCCCTGCACAAACTCCCTTTAAGATATATCACCCTTTAACAATCAACAACCAATCAATCGATCAATATGTGTCATTTACAGTGTCACCCCACTGTCTTCTGTCACAGTGATGTCATCAGTTGTGTAACATACAGTCGGTTTAATAAAGTGTGCAGGTGCATTGTGGGAAATGTAGGCTGTCTCCTCTCTATAACAATGACTGTATGTAGAGCAGAGCTGATTCTCACAGTGTGCTGAGAATACAGATCCAGGTCATCAGTGTGTGTGTGTGTGTGTGTGTGTGATAATAGCCTCCTCTCCATCGGGACTGACTGAATGGATGAATGGAGCCTCTGTTCTCCGTCTGCTTTGTGTTCTCTATCGTTAACAAATTGCTGTGATTTCAAGTGTCGTCCATGAGTTCTACATTCCTCTTCCTTTATTCAGTGTTCAGTGAGTTTGTCCTGTTCTTTCTAAAAGCTCCCTGCACCAAACTCCTTTAAGAAATATCACTTTTTAACATTCCTAACGTGTCCGTAACAACACGTGACTGTGATGAGAGGCGGACCGCTCAGTATTTTACAGGATGGTTAACGTGTGGCTCGGTTTCCGACCGATGCATTAATGTGCTCGCTGTCCTCCTCAGACGGTGGAGATGCACAAAGAGAAAGTTTCTCGAAGAGAAATCGGTGCCTTTACAGCGGTGAGACGAGTCCCGCGCAGCCACAAGATCCTCCCCCCTACTCAACCTGCTGGTACTCAGCCCCGCCCACCATACAGCCGCCGGCCAATCAACTACCAGCAGCTGGACGGCCTGGGCCACGGCATGAAGGTATCTCACACACACACACGACAGCCAGCAGGTGTGTTTGTAGACTTAAAACACACCAATGCAGAACTTCCATTGGAAAACTGCCAGTTTAGTGTTACAACCTAACATTTGAAATGTCCTGGTTAAACTTTCTGTCCACCGGTTTCCATCAGCAGTCTGTTGAGCTCAGTTTCTCTGATAATCAGCTGGAGGCTCATTATAGACAGAATGTGTGAATCAGCACAGAGCACATTTCAGAGAGGAAACAGAAGCAGAAGTGAAGTTCTGGATGCAGAGTCTGCAGACGGGTTGCTAACAGGAAGTGGTGGCGACTGCAGAAAACCACAAACACATTCGTCCTCCTGCACTGCATCGTATACTGTGTACTACTGCAACATACTGTGTACTACTGCAGCATACTGTGTACTACTGCAGTATACTGTGTACTACTGCAGCATACTGTGTACTACTGCTGTAACATTATTACAGTAACATTATCACTGTAATATTATTGAAGCTGACTGCTGTCAGTCTGTCCTGTCAGTGGAAGTGATGGAGGACAAACTGAACTCAGAGTAACTGTTTATGTGAGTTTCACTTCTGCTGCTGATCAGAGGCTTGAATGAGGAAGTGGTCTCTCACACACACACAAACAGAGACAGGCTGTCTTTGTTGAGCGTGGGAAAATGTTTAGAGAGATTAATTAGAGCTGCTGAGGCCTGAGAGGCTCTATTGATGCTCACACACACAATGTCTCTCTGCCCCCCCCAGGTCTCTGGGAAACAGTCGGACCGAACAGGAACCATCCGTAAACACGGCGCCTCCACCAGGTTCAGAGTTAGATTCTACTGACTTTCTATAAATGTCAACTTCCTGTTTCCAACATCTCTCAGTCTGACTGTGTGTGTGTGTG